GCCCGGCCTACAATGTTGCAGTTTTTATTAAGAGATAGGGTCTCTGTTGCCCAGGCTGCAATGCAGTGACCCAGTCATAGCACACTGCAGCCTCAAACTCATGACCTCAAGCAGTCCTCCCACCTTGGCCTCCCAAAGTGCTGGTGTGAGCCCCTGGACCTGGCCTCAGATTCTAATATACCTCCACCTGCCTCTTCTTACCTCTAGGTCCTCACTTGTGCTCCACGTGAGAGTCAGTATGTGTCATGATGAAAATAAGTGATGTGGGTCAGTTGCAGTGGCTCATTCTTCTAATCCTAGCACTCTGGGAGGCTGAGGCAGGAGGATCACTTGAGATCAGAAGTTCAAGACCAGCCTGAGCAAAGCAAGATGCTGTCTATTAAAAATAGAAAAATTAGCTAGGTGTGGTTGTGTATGCCTGTAATCCCAGCTACTTAGGAGGTTGAGGCAAGAGAATTGCTTGAGCCCAGGAGTTTGAGGTTGAAAAAAAAAATGATGTGAAGATTATGGAATCAGAATAAACAGCAAGCATATGGGATAACATTTCCCTTAAATGCTTTAGTTGTTCTTTTAAACCCATTCCTTATTCTCCTATATTTGCTTTTATATCCAATACCAAGTTACTAGAACTAACAACATAGGGAACTTCCTTAATTCTTTTTTCTCTTCTATACAATTTCAATTCACCTTCCTAAATGTCCTTCTTACTTGCTCTTTTCGCCTTTGAATTCAAGATCTTATTACTTCTCACCTAGAGCAGCGCTATAGTTATTGAGTTGTTTCCCTGCGCATGGTATCAGTTTCACCCTCCCGTCTTATGTTGGAGAAATATGCCTAAAACGAAAGAAAATCCACCCTGCCTAATCTTTTCATAATTTCTCCTCACCTACTGATAAGGACTACATTTCTTTACATGGCACTCAAGGCCTTCGATGAACTGACTGACACCTGCCTATCCAGTCCCCTGCGGCTCATATTATCTACACTCCATCCAATGTCAATCCATCCAATGTCAACCATTCGAAATTTCCCGAATTTCGTGCTCTTTCACACCCCTGTGCCTTTGCATTTACTGCCCTTAACCTCTTGTCCTGGAGGCAGAACACAGATTCTAGAGCTGCCTGTGCTAAAATTCCAACTCTGTCACTTACTACCTTTGTGAACTTGGACAAATTGATCTCTCTGTTTTCATCTATTTAATAAGGTATTATGAGGTTTGAATGAGTCAATAGACTGGTCAC